CACCTCAAAATCATTACTGTCGGCTACTAGTTGCCACCACCAATTTAGGGTGTGCTTCGTCAAATAAATTATGATTTTGTTTAATAGTTTGTGAATATAATATTTAATTATATATGATTTTCCATGGATTTTATATTTATCTGAAAAGGGCCATCAATGACCCTAACCTATTGAAAATGGCTCAAAAATGTCTCCATTTAACCTCTGAGACCAAAAATACCCTCAACATTTTTTTTTGGGTTCAAATCTGCCCCTGAAATTTAACAGACCAGTCAAGGTCAAATTGACCCTTTAAAAGATACCCGATCCGACCCGCTAACCCAAAATACATATAACCCATTTAACTAAAACCTAAAAACAAGAGACTATTCTTCAGCAAAACATTTCTCTCTTCTTTCGTGGCTTAGACTCGATTCTTGTGTGTGAAGTCGATTGTTGGAGCAAATCTGCATAGTAATTTCAAGGATTTTCTTGAAGATTCATATCCAAAGTCAAAGGTGAGTTTTTTTACTGTTTTGTATGAATTTTTTTTGGGTTTGAAATTTTTGGGTATCTACAACTTGTCCTTCTAATGCATTTTTTTTTTACTTTATTTATGTTGGTTGAAGCTTTTAAAGGGTTATTAAACTAGCGTTGGGGGTTATTTATTCGTTTGTGGTCGTATTGTTTGTTACATGTCGTTAGATTCTATTTTTTTTAAATTTGTGGTACATATTTACTTTCTTTTTTGGCTTGCATGTGTTGGCTTCTGTAGAATGCAAGAAAATATGGACTTGGATCTTAGTATAATTCATCATGGTGAAACTTACATTGGCTCTATAGCTGCTGGAACTGATTGTGATAGTTCTGAGGAAGAGGAAGGTGATGAACTTGTATCTAGTGATTATTATTACAGTGAGGAGTTGGAGATGTTTAGAAAGGAAAAGAGACTAAAGAAGTCAATAAAAAATTAGACATGTACAAAGAGTTGGAAAAAGGCATGACCTTTAAAGATATACCTGAAGCTAGAAAATATATTGGGTTTTATGCAGTTGCTAATTCTAAGGGTCTAAAGGTAAAAAAGAGTGATACAAAAAGACTTAGCGATAAATGTGATATTGGATGTCCTTTTAGGTGCTTTATTTCTAAGGATGGGCAAAGCCAAACTTTTAAGATCAAGACTTTGAACCAAAATCACGATTGTGATCCAGTTTATCAGAATCGTAGAGGTGATTCCAAAACTTTAGCGCATTACTTTAAGAGAAAAATTCAGAATAATCCTAAGTATAAGATCAAAGATATGAGGGGAGGCTTGGAAGGAGAATTCAAGTTCAATGTTAGCAAGTTAAAAATGAAAAAAGTTAAGAGGATTGTATTGGAGAAATTGAAGGGGAGTGTCACGACCCAATTTTCCCTCCGTTTGGGTATCGTGATAGCACCTAGTCTTAAGGACTAGGTAAGCCTAACAATAATTAAAACAACAGCATTATTTAAATAGAATCTCTTATAGTTCCCAAAACCGGTAGTATAATTCATAAGCTCTATAGAGTGTTTGCTAGAAAACTTCTAAATACAACTGTCCAGAAATAAGAATAAACAGTGCAAAACAAAAAGTTGAAGGTGACTCCGAAGCCTGCGAGCGCAGCGGCAGGTTTACCTTGAGTCTACGCAATAACAGTCCACACAGCTAGCTAACGAACAATTACCTGGATCTGCACAAAAAATATGTAGAAGAGTAGCATGAGCACACCACAGCAGTGCCCAGTAAGTATCAAGACTAACCTCGGTGAAGTAGTGACGAGGACTAATCAAGACACCCACTGGTCTAATAAACTGAATAAGCATAAGTATAGGGATGACAGAACATGACATCTATCTAAGGACCCCGCGATATGGCTAACGACATAGCAATTGCAATAAGGAAGGAAAAACAGGAAGTAACAGCGGAACACCAGAATAAGACACAGAAGAATGAACGAAAACACAACCCAAATCCAGAAATCACAATACATAAAGGCAAGTAGTAACTCAACAGCTGCAATAGTTTTTACATCAGGTCTCAGCCAACAACCCCAATAAATTAGTCAAATCCTTCAAGTGTAAACTTTCACCCGTAAGTTTTTAAATTGAGGTCTTTAGAATATAATCCTTTCCAATAAGAAATTATTTTTGAAATATACTTCCTTCAAATAAATATCTTTCAAACATAGTTCTTTCAAGATAAAACCTTTCAAATATAAACTTTTCAAATAATTAGCCTTCAAACATAGTTCTTTCAAGTATAACCCTTTCAAATAAATATCTTCAAACATAGTTCCTTCAAGATAAATACTTTTCAAATATAAACTCTTTAAGTAATATCCTTCGAGTATAAGTCACCCTATGACACCTAAGCATGGAAGATTAGCAGCTCTGAATACATATATAACCACAGGGAAAATCTACCGGGATGCCGTCCCGTAGTCCCGAATTAATTATGCAAGATAGGGGGATCTCCCGGAATACGTCCGTAGTCCCAATTTAAATATGCAGTGCTGGGGGATCTCCCAGAATACGTCCGTATTCCCAATTTAAATATGCAGTGCTGAGGGATCTCCCAGAATACGTCCGTAGTCCCAAAATAAATATGTAGTGCTGGGGGATCTCCCGGAATACGTCCGTAGTCCCAATTAAATATGCAGTACTGGGGGATCTTCCAGAATACGTCCGTAGTCCCAATTTAAATATGCAGTGCTAGGGAATCTCCCAGAATACGTCAGTAGTCCCAATTTAAATATGCAGCGCAAACAACAGAGATAACAACTATAACATGACAGAAATCTCGTACATCACCACAACGAGTACAAAAGCAACAATGAAAGAAATGCAAGGTACGACGAGCAAATCAACACAAGAATTTAAATCACAAGAATGGTAGAACTCATTCACAGGGAATAACCACAGTAAAGAATGCTAGGCACAAGGAGAACAACTTAACAAGGGAAAACAAAATAAAAATATAGCAACAATTTCACAATATTCAAGTCAACTATAAGAAGCCAACACGAGTCAAATAGTTCCAAATAATGGCAAATCAACTAAGATATAGGTTATCTAAACTCCTTTTGAGGTTGAGCAATTACGAGAAAAATTCAGTAATACAAGTAAGGATAAGCAGCGGAAGATAATCATAAATTCAATTAAGTCTAAACAATTATAAGATGAGAAAATAATGATTTCAATTAAAAATAAGCAGTTATAAAAAATATAGCACGACGATAGAAGAGGTAAAATCTTTGGTTAAGTCGAATAAGGGTCAAATAGACAGTAAGAGTGAATCCTAAAGTAATTATCTCTAATCAAAGCATGTAGATGTGAAACTAGCAAATAGGAATTCAAACGTATCAAAAATAACATCATACACAGTGAATATAAGGACATAAGAACCCTAAAAGACCAACTTTCCAAAAATAAGTCTGAGCACGCACTCGTCACCTCGCGTACACAGACTAAAATCAACATAGATGACTCAAATCCTAAGGGGTAGTTCTCCCACACAAGGTTAGGCAAGATACTTACCTCGAGTCAAGCTCAATCAATCCGTAAGAATACCCTTTCCATGAATATCCGGCTCTGAATGGCCCAAATCTAGCCAAAAGCAATTACATATCATATTTACAATCATAATAGACTCATCTAATTAATTAAATCAATACTTTAACAAAAATTCCAAAATTCGCCCTAAAAAGTCGACACGGACCCACGTTTCGGAATCGGGTAAAAGTCATAAAATACGAAAGCTCATTCACTCACGAGTCTAACCATATCGAATTTACTAAATTCCGACACCAAAATCTTGATCAAAACCCCAAAATTCGGTCTAAGAATTTTTCTCAAATTTTCACCCCAAATCCGTATTTAAACAATTAATTCTAGCATAGATTAGTGGAATATAACCATAAGGGAGTTAAGAATCATTACCCAAAAACTTCCTCCAAAAATCTCTCCAAATTTCGCCTTCTACCGAGCTCTCAATCAAATTTGTGAAGTGAACTTCAAACCCTCGAATCTGCCCCTTTTTCTGCCCAGTTATTCCGCATCTGCGGACCTTGGGTCGCACCTTCGGAATTTCCTTTGCAGGTGCGGAAATGACTTAAGAGGGCTGGGTCCACTTCTACGGAAAAAGGGTTGCACCTGCGAGTGCGCGCCTGCGGACTATTGTCTGCTTCTGCGATCTCCTCCGCACCTACGTGACCCTAACGCATCTGCGGGCATCGCAGATGCAGAATTCACCTCGCACCTACGACCCCTGGCACTCTTCCATTTTTCTTCTTCTGCACTTGCCTCCCCGCATGTGCGATCACACACCTGCGGTCTCTCCACCTCAGGTGCGAAAATGACAGATGCCTGAAGACTTCAGCAGCAACACAAATCCAACTTTTGATCCGTTAAGCATTCGAAACTCACCCGAGCCCCCCCTCGGGACCTCAACCAAACATACCAACCAATCCTAAAATACCATATGAACTTAGTCGATCCCTCAAATCATATCAACTAATGCTAAAATCATGAATCACCTTCCAATTCAAACTTAAAGAACTTGAAACTTTAAATTCCTACAACCGTTGCCGAAACCTATTAAACCACGTCCGAATGACCTCAAATTTTTCACACAGTTCACAAATGACACTACGAACCCACAACCACTTTCAGAAATCCATTCCGAGCTTGATATCAAAATTTCCACTATCGGCCGAAATCGCCGAAAATCTAACTTTCGCCAATTCAAGCCTAAATATACTACAGACCTCCTAAACACATTCCGAACGCGCTCCTAAGCTCAAAATCATTCAACGGAGCTAACGGAGTCAACAGAATTCCATTCCGAATCCGTCTTCATACAGTTCCAACTACGGTCCAAATTCTAAGACTTAAGCTCTCATTTAGGGACTAAGTGTCCCAAATCACTTCGAATCACCCGATACTTGAATTCAACCACGCACGCAAGTCAAGGCACATAATACGAAGCTGCTCAGGGCCTTATACCGTCGAATGGGACTTAAATTCTCAAAACGACCGACCGAGTCGTTACAGGGAGTTACCTAGATGACTACAATAGATTAGAGGCATACGCACAAGAATTGAGAGAGAGCAATGTTGGTTCTGATGTGGTGATAAATATATCCAAGGAAGCCTTGGCAGAAGGTAAAAGAAGATTCCTTAGGATGTATGTGTACTTCCAAGCTATGAAACATGGCTTTAAAGATGGTTTGAGACCTTTTATAGGGTTGGATGGCACATTTTTAAAAGGAAAATGCAAGGGGCAGTTGTTGGTGGCTGTTGGACGAGATTCTGTGAATTATTTCTATCTAATTGCTTGGGCGGTGGTGGATAAAGAAACCAATAGGACATGAAGTTGGTTTGTGGAGATGCTGAAGATTTCATTGGACTTGAAGGACGGTGAATGGGTGACCTTTATCTCAGATATGCAAAAGGTATATTTTTACTATTATGTCTTCCTTATTTGCTTTAAATGAGGTCCTTATTCATAAATTCAATTTTTTTTCCGCTATTCTATTATTTAACTATTGCAGGGGTTGCTGGATGCTACTTCTGTAGTGGTTCCTAAAGCAAATCACAGATTTTGTGTAAGACACATTGAAGCTAACTGGGCAAAGAAAAACAAGAGAGGTGGGGAGATGAGGAAGGTGTTGTGGTGGTGTGCTTGGAGCACATATGATGAAGATTTTAAGGATCAACTAAAGAATTTGGGTTCTTTATCTGAACAAGCTGTCAAAGACCTATTATGGTATCCACCTCAAATTTGGTGTAGACCGTACTTTGACACAAAATACAAGAATAATATGGTGGATAATAATTTCACAGAATCCTTCAGTTCTTGAATTCTGGAAGCCAGGTCAAAATCTATCATAAAGATGCTGGAGGATATTAGGATCAAGGTGATAGAAAATCTATCATTAATTTTCTTTTATTAATTGAGTTAAATGTTATTATGTGACTATTTTGTAATTGTTTTACAAAGGTAATGAATATGATCAGGGAGCATGAAGATGAAGCTAGAAATTAGAAAGAAGATATCAGTCCACTTGCAATGAGGTTGCTTAAGGACTACAAGCACATTGCACAAAGGTGCAAAGTTATATTTAATGGAGATAATGGGTATGAAGTAACAGAGGGTGTAGATAGGCATACAATTAACTTATTGATGAAGAGGTGTACATATAGGGCATAAGACTTGTCTGGGATCCCATGTCCTCATGCCATCAAAGCACTGATTCATAAAAAGGTTGATCCACTGACTGAGGTACATTAGTGATACTGTAAGGAGGCTTATATGCTGGTTTATAAGCATAAGGTGCAACCTGTTAGAGGTGAAAAATTCTGTAATGTGGAGCCACATCATGCCATGGAACCATCACCTTTAGCTAAAATGGTTGGTAGACCAAGGGTGAAGAGAACAAGAGAAAAGGCGAGGCTAGGAAAAGGGAGGGGATATGGTCAGCTTCAAGAAAAGGGCTTCACATGACATGCGGTTATTGTAGTTCACCAAGACATAACATCAGAAGATGTCCAATAGTAAGATGATTTTATATTCCCATTCTAAATTAATAATAACATATTTTAAATACCTAACTTAAATTTCAAATCATGTAGGTCAAAGGAAAGCACAATCTATCTTATGAAGAAACTTCTCAATCACTAGAAGTTATTCATATGACAGCACCTCAAGATTCCCAAGATTCAGAATTTGTGTTCATTCATGTTCCTGGATTAAATATATCTTATCAATATTCCAGTCACTCAAGTCAACATGAATCTGATTCGACCTTTCAGTCTGAAGCTAACACACAATTTTATGATGTTGACAAGATTGGGTGTGAATCTGATCCAACTCTAATGCCCAAGGTGATTTCTGAAGCTAACACTAGGCTTAAACAAAGGCAACTGCTGCAAAATCCTACTGGTACCAGGAAGATCAATTTCATGGGAGATGAAAATGATTTATATTTACCCTCTGATCTGTCATATTCCCCAAGAAAGATCACTTGGGAAGGAAAATCAGCAATGACCTCAAACCAATTGGTAGAAAAAAAGGAAAGAAGAATTACAAAACTGAAAGCTAAAAGGGCCATGCTTTAGGACAATTAGAAGTTAAATTATTTTGCTGGTTGCGATGATGTTATGTAATATCAATAGACTTATAGACATGTAAACTGATTATCGTTTATTGTTTTTGTGATGAATCAGTTACGCCAATGATTTTACTGATTCTAACAAAAATATATTTGTGTCGAATCAGTTACGGCAATGACTTTGCTTTTGTGGTGAACTTGATGTCATGGCAATGACGCTTCTATGGTGATTTTCAGCAGTTTAATATTTTTTAATTTTTTTATATATATATTTTAGCAGTTTTATAGTAAGCATTTTAGTATTATTCAGTTATTTTTTTTGTATTTCAACAGTTTGCTTCGGGTAATGGCACTAACTAAGCTTCAGGCCATGTCAATAGCAGATAAGTTCTTAATCAATAGCAGGTAATTACTTTCTCGGCAAAAATATTACTTCATAAATTAATAGGAGTTTTGGCCGTAAATTAACTCGTAACTTGTCCGCAATTACATCTACTCAATTGGTTGAGCTTTGAGAGGAAATAAAATTTTTGGACATTCTATCACAAAAGAACAAATTTTTATGCAAAGATAATGGGAGATTATGTTTTTCTGAAGAATAATCTCTTGTTTTTAGGTTTTAGTTAAATGTGTTATATGTATTCTGGGTCAGCGGGTCGGGTCGGGTATCTTTTAAAGGGTAGATTTGACCTTGACTGGTCTGTTAAATCTCAGGGGCAGATTTGAGCCCAAAAAAAACGTTGAGGGTATTTTTGGTCCCAAATGTTAACTGAGGGTATTTTGAGCCATTTTCAATAGGTTAGGGGCATTGATGGCCCTTTTCCGTATATTTATTAGGTTTTGAATAATTAAAGATAATTTAAAGAGTTTTAAATATTCAATGTTCAAATTTAATAATCCGATATGTACTTAAATTCAAATATAATTTGATTTTGCTTGAACAAGTAATTTTCAAATGACAGGAAAGTGTCATCTTACCAATAACAACAATAACCCATGATAATCTCACTAGTGGGGTCTGGGAAGGGTAGTGTGTACGCAGACCTTACTCCTACCCTGGGGTAGAGAGACTGTTTCCGATAGACGCTCGGCTCCCTCCCTCCAAGAACTCTTCACCTTACTCTTGGGGTGATTCGAACTCACAACCTCTTGGTTGGAAGTGAAGGGTGCTCACTACTAGAGCAACCCACTCTTGTCAAAAATGTCTATCTTACTAAGAAGAGAAATGCCTAGTGTGGTCTAGAGTGGCCCTTCAGAAGGCTCAAAGGATATCATTGTATTCAAACTAATCCATGCGAAGTATGTGTCAACATAAGCACTGCTCCGTACCGTATCCTTATACTCCATCCGTTTCAATTTAGATGAGTTAGTTTGACTCGTCACGGAGTTTAAGAAAGAAGAAAAGAAAACTTTTGACACTTGTGGTCTTAAAATCTTAAGGGGTAAAAGGTTTGTGGGCTATAATATTTGTGTGGCTATAAAAATTTCTCATTAAGAGTAAAATAGATAAAATAAATAGTTTAAAGTTAAATTATTTTTAATTGTAGAAATATGTCATTATTTTTAGAACGGACTAATAAAAAAAAAAAGAGTATATGTTAGCAAAAATCAAAACGGAAGAAATAGTACTTTGCGTCCAACCCAACCGGACAAAGCCATGTGTAGTTTAGGATCATGCAACTTCACTTTTAAATGGCAGCTTATTAGAGGTTCGTACATCCCCCAACTTTTGAGTCATTGAAGGTAATCTTTGCCCTTTCCTAAAAGGCGGTCCACTTCAATTATGAGAGCTTAAACTAGTCCCATCAACAAGCAAGGAGTGTGACGGAAACGATGAGAGTCTCACATTTAATTAGAGATTTTGTGTGTAATTTCTTTTTAAAAATCTTTTCTTAGGAAGTGTTTTCTCTTTTTGTAGGTCTTATTAGAAGTGCAAATTTGAATTAATGGGTCAGTAAGCAATATGAATTTGAATTAATCAGTGAGTGAGTTTTTGAACATATGATAAAAAAGAAAGAGAGATCCCGGCCCGCATGTTAGTTGAAACAGGGTCTACCTATCTCCAATAAAATACTACCAAGTAATGATCATATATAGTAGCTTTCCATTTCAATGGTGTAGAAAGCTAAACCAAGGGAAAGGATTCCTGCAGTCCAAGTTAAGCAGTAGTGGTCCTAACCGGAGTGCTTTCCAAAAATGGTTCTTTCTTTTCTTTTACTTCGCATATTAGGGTATATCTTTGAGTGACGGAAATCAAATGATGATTACTTAGTTGATGCTCATAATGTGTCTCTACTTATATGTCTCTATAGCAGTGAAACTTGTGTGGCAGTCGCTTTGACTGACATGTACTAACGATATCGAATTGCCATTGGAGGAAAACAAGTGTTAAAGTACTGAGGTGTGAAGACCAACCCAGATCGGCTTTTTGGATTTTCATGTAAGTTGTTCACTCCTATGTCTCTGTCAGTCATTCAATTCTCAACTCTATTTTTTTTTTTTTAATAACTATAGTGTCCCGACTAACTTGCGTATTAATTTCACAGATCACAATAGACTTCCAGCAGCATAACTCTGTCCTACAAAATTTGGACAAAAATATATACATGTCTGTTTACATTCTTGACATATAAGCCAAATTATTTAATTTGTTACTGAAACATATTTGCGATGCGTGCAGCGACCCTCAAGTCATTACTTTCTAAAAGAAACTAATGTCTTTAATTGGGATGGATGACAATGAACTTGAAGTGGATGGAAAAGCTATTGAGATGTGGAAAAGCATGTCAAAGGAGGTACTTCATTTGGATCTATTGATGGTACTATAGCTTTTATTTGTGTTTCTTACTCATTACTGTGCTCTTGTATGAATTAAATATGAAATGTGTTTGAATCACCAGATATTGGGTTCTTCACATTATAAATTTTTATTGTTATTTAATATTTTGCTGGTTTGTTAGACGACTAGATTTTTCTGCTCTTAATTGACTAACTATATGGCATCCATTATTGGATTTTCTGGCGATGAACAACAACAATAACCCAGTATAATCCCACTAGTGTGGTAGTGTGTACGCAGACCTTATCCCTACCATGAGGTAGAGAGGCTGTTTCCAATAGAAACTCGGCATCCCTCCCTCTAAGAACTCCCCACCTTACTCTTGGGGTGACTCGAACTCACAACCTCTTGGTTGGAAGTGGAGGTTGCTTACCATCATAGCAACCCCTCTTACCATCTTGGCGATGAACAACTTAATATTATTTGGAGAAATCCAAATTTCAGCCTTGGCGAATATAACCAATGGAAGAGGAGCACTATTGCATTACATCTTTGACGTGACTAATTAATGGCTTCGCACTTAAGTTGTGTGTAAACAAATACTATGTGGGTGCGTCAATATCTGATGTCTTCAATATACATCAGCCTCTATTTGGATCCTATTAACCTATAAGTAAATATGATTATATCTCTTAAAATTTTGTAAGAAAATTTATACATTTTCAGTGACTATCATATTTGACTGAGGGCATTTTTTCTATTAAGCTTAATAAGCTTTATACACCGACGATGTAAAAAAAAAAATATATATTTAAATAATCAGATCAATCAATGATGTAATTATATATATATATAAAATCTTTCTGATATATAATAAGTATCTAATATAATAAGTTAAACTCTACTCATTCATTCAAAATCTTTTCACTGTAAGTGCATATAGATTCTCCTAGTTTATGCTCCTTGTGGCTAATATATAACACTTCTTTTCTGAAACAGGAAACTGTGTTCCCATGGATGCCGAGAAAAATCTCTTGAGACAAAAATGGTACGTTCCATGCTCTTCTACTGTCCAACATCTCTGGACTGATACATGGGACCTTCATGATTATGGAAGGCAAGTCAAGATGTGGCTATTGTGAGCAGTACGTAGTTATTCTAGAAGTTAATGGTAATGTATAAATAGTATATTTTGAAAAGTGCATGTTCATTTGATGGACTTCAAGAATCATATGGTTGTATTTTGGAAATGATAGTGGATCATGAATTCATTTCATGGGCAAAAAGAAATACACGTACCTATTTTGGAGATAACAATGGAATTTTATGACATGTTTAAAATTTAAAATCTTCAAAATTTTCAGTATTTTCTTTTTCGAATTCGTACTCAGTCAAATATCACCATTTAAACTAAAATGGAAAGAGCAACAATTAGGTCAACTGACCAAACAAATCCAAAATATTGGATAATGACACTTGGTTTAGTTTCTATATAACTTTTTTTTTGTTAATATCGAACCAAATCAAATATTAATAGTTTAAATTTAATACGATTCAGGTCAAACCAAATTACATGTTAATGTTCTGTTAGTTTAAAACATTTTTTGATTCGATTGGTTTTTCGAAATTTCTTGGATACAGTGTATATTTTATGGATCAAATTCGTTAACTTGGGCCCATACACGACAAGCCCAAATATCGATTAAGAATTTCTTAAAGTCAAAATGGCATGGCATAGCCATGTTTACGGCTGACTATCCAAAAACAGCCACCATCGCTAATATAATCGATTTCTAGCCATTTTAATTTAAAATATATTAGTAAATGACATAATTTCCCTTGAACTTTTTAACATCCTATTTAGTTACTTTTCATTTTTTATCGCTCTTCTCTTTCTTTTTACAGTAGTGTACAGATTTCGCTTTCGTGAGAGCACTTTCTTCGAATTTAGTGTGGGTTAGGTCCAATTTTCTTCAAAATTGTCTGGGTGAGTGTTGTGTTTACAATAATGTGCTTGAATTTTCATTGTTATTGTTGTTTCGTTAGTTTTAAGTTTGATTTTCGTACTTTTAGTGTTTAAATATTTGTGGGATTTTAACATTTACGATTTTTTCTTTGTTTAGTAGTTCGTCTTATTTCTGATAATTTTGTCACTTTGTTATTAGTTTTATGTTGTAATGTTGTAATCGTTGCGTAATTTATTTTGATAAGTTGTTCAAATATTTTTCTAGTCTCTGTATATTAATTAGGGTTAATTTTCAAGTATTGTTTTGCTTCAACTGCATTATAGATTTCTCGAGTTCTTGTTAAAACTTGAAATCCAGAATAATGTGCTGGATTTCATATTTAAAAATTTGATTTTTTGTAATAAATTTAGTTTCAATATATTATATTTTTTAATTCTAGACCAGTATTTGTTTATGGAGTTTTATTTTTGTAATAAATTTGGTGTAGTATATTAAACGGGAAATCTGTCTTCTGAAGGCTTGTTTCCCAGTATTTTATATTGGATGATTTTTTATTATAATTTTTGTTTATGGAGTTTTGTAATAAATTTTGTCCAGTATATTATACGGAAAGTCTGTCATCTGAATGTTTGCCCTCCGGTATGTTATACTGGATGATTATTATAATATACTTGAGTTTTGTTTAATTCCAGTATATTTTACGGGAAGTCTGCCATCTGTAAGCTTGTTGTCCAGTATGTTATATTAGATGAGTTCTGTTTAGACTAGAGTTTTGTTTTATTTGTGATTACTTTTTTTGAATGATTATTTGTCTTTTTATTATTATTATGTTCTTTGATTATGTTTCTTCGTTATACCTCAGTATTTGTTTCTGGAGTTTCATTGCTTCTAATTAATTTGATCCAGTATATTATACTGGAAGACTGCCATCTGTAGGTTTTATTGTCCAGTACTTTATACTGGATGGGTTCTGTTTTATATACTGGATTCTGATCGTATTTACTAATCTAATTTGTAATATTCTTTGTTTTCATGATTTTATAGAAAGGGAATCTTAAGTAGTATATTGAAGGTACGGATTTCTGAAATGTTCAAGTTTTTATCTTAAAATTATATGAAATGCTGTTTATATGTGTTGTATTTTAATTTTAGGAGGGAGATAGATTTTATGACTTTAAGGAGTGGTTTCCTGCTGATTGTTATTGAAAAGGCGATCGAAATTTTAAGCAAATTATGTCATCCTTTTTGTCTGGAACTCAAATGGATGTGTTGAAGAACAGTGTATTTGGAAAGTTTTTAGAGTTGAATGAAGAGAGTCACTCTGGGAAGTTGACTCATTGTATGTTGCTATCTCAATTTTTCTTCAATTTCTGGATCTGTAGAGGATTCACATGATATCAAAGAATACGACGTCAATAATGAACATGGGAAATTAGAAGATTTTAATTTAGAAGCGATAAAGGAAGGGACTTCTGGTATTGAAACGTAAAGTTGTATATTTAAATTTTTTTTATTTATATTTTCTAACATATTAATGCATATTTTATGTAGCATCTGGTTTTGTTGATGTTGGAATTCCGGATGAAGATAAATGGTTAGAAATATGTGATTCAGAGGCTCATAAATTAACAGCTGAGCTTTGTAAACAAACAACAAATGAAGATATTTCGTCGGGTAAGATGACTAAACAGTCATGCAATGAAGATGTTCCAGCTATAGAGGTTTATAAAAAAATCATCAACCAAGATGATTTCAGATCATGAAATTGAGATGACTGACTCTCAGATTGATTGTCAGATTCATAAATTAACTTTCGAGTTTGTTAATGAGTCCATAGGTGTTGCTCCTGTAATGTCATCTATTCCAAAATGCTCTACACCTAAAGATGCTGCAACTTCTTCCTTGCCTATTCAGTCAAGTTTTGAAGGTGTCCAAACTTATGAGGTTTCGGACGACTCTAGTCAAGAAGATGCAACAAGAATAAGAAAACTTGTTGTACCTCGTGTTATTGTGAAAGGGGATCACCCTTTCAAAACGTCAATTACTGAAGAAATTCTTGTATCAATTAGTGATGAGTTTAGTAAGTTTGTTCAAACAAAGTTAATTCAAACTCGCAGGTAATTTTATATATTTCTTTATGTTTTGATTGTAGTTTCTTTGTAATGATAGTTTGGACTATTATATTTATGTATTTATTAAATCTTTTTAGGAAGAAGGGGTACAAAAAGAAGGATGATATACTGGAGGAACAGTTTAATCTTGGAATTGCATTTATAGCTGAGAGGACATGATTTTTTGAACTTTATTATTCAGGTATAGGTATCAATGAGACGGTATGTCAACATACATTATTTTTTTATTTTGTTTTAGTATCGGTATATGTGTGTATATTCAATTGATGTCTGTTTTCTTTTTGTAGCATATTGATATTATATTCTATTACCTCCGAAAGAAAGAAAAATATGGAAACATAAGGATGACAACTACCGATAACTATTTCATTTCTACCATTGAAGAGGTGTAGAATAAATCAACCATAGATAGCTTGAATGTAAAAAAAACAGATATTTGAGTTGACAAAGAAATTAAAAGAGTATGTGCTTGGGTTTTACATTCTTTATAACACCCCCTGGCTTTTCGTTAATTATGTTCTTATGCCAACCAATGTAAAAGATGCATGGCATTGGGTGTTGGACGTTCTATCTTTGCCTGATGGCTGCATATACGTATATAATTCAATGAGATCCCCAAGACATGATGTTGTAGTTCGTAAAGCATTGCACTCATTTGTTGTAATGATACCATTGTTGCTCAACACCACTACATTTTATGAGCAAAGAAGTGACATTACAACGAATAGATCACATTACTTGGAAAAAGAGGATCTATCTGAACCATTTCCTCTTATATCAGTGGATGACTTGCCTCAACAGGAAAAAGTGTAAGTTGCAATATTTTTTTATATCATATTCTTCAGTTTTTACTCCTGTATTGTTTATCTTATTCTTTCTTAATATGTGTTTTGTATGTAGTGATTGTGGTATATATTATTCTGCATTTGCGGAATATTTCATTGAAGGCAAGAAGATACCTGTTGACAAGAACATCTTTGATCCTACACGTGTACAAACTAGATATGGAGTATTATTATACAATTATGGTAAGAAGAAGCAACTGGAATATCTGGTTAGTGAAGATGAGGCCACTGGAAGATTAGACAAACCTTGCGTTTCAAAAAGGCGCAACACACATACCAATAAATAGTTTTTTTATTTTTTTACTGTAATTGAAAAGATATTTTAGATTGAAATGCAGATTAATGTACTGGAATATATATTTTTAGCATGTGTTTGTGTTTCTATTTTTATATTTTTATGTATAATGTGGATTGGAGTTTATATTTTTTATGGTGTATTTTTATGTATAATAAGTTGGATTACATAATTTTTGTTGATGATATTATAGTATAATTAGCTGAAGTTCTTATTTTGTTTGGTTCCTGTATATTATGCTGAAAATGCTACTTATGAAGCGCTATAAAGCCAGTATATTATAACGGAGAAGTGTAAAATAATGTAGAAGTTATATCCAAAATAATTTGCTCGAGTTAAAGACTTTAAAATTTTGCTTCTTGCATATTCTGCTGGAGATATATCACCTGAAAGTATTTTCTCCAGTATTTTATCCTGGATGTGTACAATCCAGTTTTTTTTTTTTGCTGGATTTGAAGCGATTTATTGATTAAAATAAAGATTAATGGATTGGAGTTTATAATTTTATGGTGTGTTTTTATGGATAATAAGTTGGATTTCATAATTTTTGTTGATGCTATTCTATTATAATTACCTGAATTTCTTATTTTATTTTGTTCCTGTAATTACTGAAAATGCTACTTATGAAGCGCTATAAACCAGTATATTATAATGGATAAGTGTAAAATAATAGAGAAGTTATATCCAGAATAATTTACTGGACTTAAAGACTTTAAAATTTTTCTTCCTATATATTATCCTGGAGATATATCACCTGAAAGTATTTTCTCCAGTATTTTATCCTAGATGTGTACAATCCAGTTTTTTTTTTTTGCTGGATTTGAAGCGATTTATTGATTAAAATAAAGATTAACGGATTGGAGTTTATATTTTTTATGGTGTGTTTTTATAGATAATAAGTTGGATTACATAATTTTTGTTGATGCTATTCTATTATAATTAGTTGGATTTATTATTTTATTTTGTTCCTGTATATTACACTGGAAATACTACTTATGAAGCACTATAAACCAGTATATTATAATGGAGAAGTTTAAAATAATGGAGAAGTTATATCCAGAATAATTTGCTGGACTTAAAGACTTTAAAAATTTTCTTCCTATATATTATCCTGGAGATATATCACCTGAAAGTATTTTCTCTAGTATTTTATTCTGGATGTGTACAATCCAGTTTTTGTTTTTTTGCTAGATTTGAAGTAATTTATTGATTGAAATAAAGATTAACGGATTGGAGTTTATATTTTTTATGGTGTGTTTTTATGGATAATAAGTTGGATTTCATAATTTTTGTTGATGCTATTCTAATAAAATTAGCTAGAGTTTTTTGTGTTTGTTTGGTTCCTGTATATTATGCTAGAAATGCTACTTATGAAGCGCTATAAGCCAGTACATTATAATGGAGAATGGTAAAACAATACAGAAGTTGTATCCATAACAATTGGCTGGAATTAAAGACTACAAATCTTTTGGTTCATGTATATTTGGCTGGAGATCTATCATTTGAAATCATATTATTCAGTATTTTATCCTGGATGTATACAAAACTTCTTTTATTCTTTTCATAATCACTTCCTTTAAATACTGTATTTGATGATGTATGTTCATTTGTAAGCCAGTAAGTTTTACTTCAAAACCAGAGGAAAATGCTACATAAAATATTTCAAAACAACAACAAAACACCAGTATAATATGCTGAATCTTTCTGAATTGATATGTAAAACTCATAAACTTTCATGCATAATATATTCGATCTGTATAATATACTGGATCAGTATAATATACTGTATGAGTATAATATACTAGATCAGTATATTATACTGATCTAGTATATTATGTATAATATGTTGCTATATTCTATGTGATGAGTTCCGGTATATTTAACTGAGTATTAGATAGAAAATTTGATAGATATACGGATTTCGGAAAAATAAAAATTATTATATAACTACAGCAAAGTATGTTGTTATAGAAGAAACAAAGATTACGGTCATTTTGACTTCAAATCAAGAAACAAAAAAAATAGACAGTAATAATATTTTGAGAAACAAGAATCCCGAGAAAATTATTCTGGATTACAATCAGTTTTTTGAATGAGCGTATGCAACCTTATTCTATATAATCAATCATTCTTTTTCCTGTATTTTCTTGCATAAGGATGAACTACTGCTGAATTTGTGCAATTTGTTCTGTTATGCCCATATCTTTTACAACGATCACATCTTAATTCCTTCTTGAATTATGTACAGGAAATATGTCGATTCTTCTGTTTTCTTCCAAGCATAACTTTTGCATCTGGAGGCTTAGTGATTTCTGATTTAATAGTATCCGGTATAACCCATATTGTTGAATCACCTACATAATTTACTTGCCCTTCATATGTTTTCAACCAAAAGTCCCTTGTATAATAGGCAGAGCAGAAAGCCGATTTCTTTTGATATATACTGTCAATTGCAGCAATTGCATGTTCACAGGGTATCTCATTTAACTGAAATTCAGAACAATCACATGTTCTTTTGTCTAGATCAACAATAAATTCCATACCCTCTTCTTTGACTTTGAATTTGAGTCGATCAATGGGAAGTACTCTAAATGTAAAAGCTGGTTTAATTTTGTCTTCCAATGTTGCTTCTGCCCAATTCGATAATTTACAGAATATTCCTTCTGCTGATGTCCTTCTGTCATGACCCAAAACCTAACCCGTCGTGATAGCGCCTATCGTGGTACTAGGCAAGTTGACACATTTCCAAAACACATCGATATTTCATTTAAAAGATAAGTCAAAGCTTTACTTCACTAGAATCTTCATTAAAGAGTTCAAACCAAAATAAAAATAGAATGCAGAAAAGATAGCCCGACATCGGGGTGTCACTAAGTTATGAGCAACTACTACAAATTGTCTGATAACATCAAGACTAGCATAGTCTCGGAAAGACCAATACAACTAAGGGAAAGATAAGGAAGAAGAAAAACAGGGCTGCAATCGCCAGACAGCTACCTTGTTATCTCTGATGATCCGCTACTAAATATATCAACAACCGCTACCGTGGCCAGAAATGCCTGGATCTGCACATAAGGTACAGAGAGTAATGTGAGTATACCAACTCAGTAAGTAATAGCAGTAAATAAAGGCTGAGGAGTAATGACGAGCTAGATGCAAGTATAGTTCGTATCACAAAAATTCCGTAAAGTACAACATGCTTTAAAAACCAGTGTTTAAGTCAAATCAGCTTGTTTAAATCTAGTTCAGGTAAAACCAATAAAAATATCTTTCAACAGTTCTCAAATAAGGACTCACAGCAGCTATGATCACAAAGGATGAAATCACATACCGCTCCTCAGGCAAAAACATCACTCAGTCCTCCCAGTAACTCCAACCTCACAATCACCTATGCCTCCCAATCACTCAGCACTCGTTACTCGCACTCAGTAGGTACCTGCGCTCACTAGGGGTGTGTACAGACTCCGGAGGGACTCCTTCAGCCCAAGCGCTATACCAATGCCCATCATGGCAGAATCAATGAAACATGCTGCGGCGTGCAGCCCGATCCCATAAATGTCCTCGCAATCAGGCCCTCGGCCTCACTCAGTCATAATCTTTCCAGTCTCTCGGGCTCTCAGAAATCAAGTAATCAGCCCAAACAACATTGATATGGTGCATCAAATAAAGTAACAAAGACTGAGCTATAATGTAAAAATGCATGAACATGACTGAGTACAGATTATCAATCAAAAACAATGAGAGTACAACAAGAAAATACCTCCAAGGGTCCAAACAATACTGGCATAAGTCCTAGACAAAGTATCTAGCATGATTTACAGCAAGACTTTCTAAAACACATAAGGAGCATATAGCTACAACAGGTTGTTCAACTTTACAATTGCTACGGGACGGACCAAGTCACAATCCCCCAACGGTGCACGCCCACACGCCCGTCACCTAGCATGTGCGTCACCTCAAAATAGTCACATGACACTCAAATCCGGGGTTTCATACCCTCAGGACTAGATTTACAACCGTTACTTACCTCAATTAGAGCAAATCTTTACTCTGCAATGCCCTTACCTCTCGAATCGGTCTCCGAGCGTCCCGAATCTATCCACAAGCAGTACAATACGATTAATATATGCTAAAGGAATCAATTCCACAAGGAAACTACTAAATTAGACTCAAAACACGAAATTGGCTCAAACCCGGCCCCCGGGCCCACGTCTCGGAATCAGACAAATGTCATAAAACCCGAAAGCCCATTCACTCACGAGTCTAACCATACTAAATTTACCAAAATATAACAACAAAATCCCTTTTAAAACCTCAAAATTCCAGCTCAAGAACTCTTTCACTTTTTCCCCAATTTTTCACCCAAAATCACAATTTAGATGATAAAAATTAAGATATAATTATGGAATTAAAACAAAACTAAGTGAGAAACACTTACCCCAATCAACTCCCTGAAAATCCCTTCAAATTATCGCCTAAATTCGTGGTCTCTAGCTCAAAATATGAAAAATGGGCTCAAACCCTCGATTTTTGAATTTAACACTGTCTGCCCAGATTTCCTTCTTCGCGAACACGGAAGTACCCTCGCGTTCGCGAAGCACAACTGCCTCTGCCTAGAAATTCCTTCTACGTGTACGTGATCTACCACTTGCGAACACGAACCTTTACTGAACCTTCTCTTCGCGAATGCGACCTCACCCTCGCGAACGCGTAGACCAAATGAATGGGGTCCCCAACAGCCTTACTCCTCTTCGCGAACGCGACACCACTTACGCGTTCGCGATGCACACACTGCCCTACCCTTCGCGTTCGCGTCCTCACCTTCGGGAATGCGTAGAACAAAAATTCACCATCTCAGAAACACTCTTCGCAAATGCGAGGCCCTTCTCATGAACGCGTAAGAGGAAACCAGAACCAAAATACAGCAGTAGATCAGCTATCTCACCAAGGCCAAAAATGATCCGTTAACCACCCGAAACTCACCCGAGGCCCTCGGAACCTCAACCAAACATGTCAACAAGTCATAAT